TGTGTGTGTGTGTGTGTGTGTGTGTGTGTGTGTGTGTGTGTGTGTGTGTGTGTGTGTGTGTGTGTCTATGCAACCGCTCACAGTCACAACAAGAGACGCACTACAACGGAATGCCCCCATAGCGTAAGAACGGGTGGGATGACGTCTTTTTATAGCGCACATCCCGCGGAATAGGCACGTAGCAGCACCCCTGTTCGTGCGCTGCGGCTTTTCGTTTTCTGAAATTTTTTCCCCCCCCTGTTATTTTTGTTCTCTGTGTTTCCGCAGGCGGATCGGAATTGGAACCCACGCCGGCCAGGGTCAGTCCCTACGTTGTCGAGGGGTCCATATCACGGCTGTCGTCCGCTCCCCGAGCAACCCCTGCACCCCTCGCTGCCATAACCCCGACGAGCATTTCAAAAACGGCATTGCCCTGCCGCATCGCCCCAGCGACAGCCCCGATCTCCGCCGCAACCATCCTTGATCCATCCGTCGACGCACGAGCCAATGTGCTGACAGCCCTGTCCAAACCCTCACACAAGGCCCTCGTGGACTCCTCCATCACCGATGCCATGCCATACATCGACGTCAGAGAATCCCCCCCCCGGCTTTCCCGCTTGAGGTAAGGCGTGTCTTCGTGACGGTATCCGAAGCATCCGTCCCAGCACCCTCCGAACCCGCGTCGCTGCCACTCGGTGATCCACCCCCTCTCAAATCTTCGGAGGCCAGTGTGTCGTCACACGTCACAGACTTCTTCAACCGATACCACTCCATAGCGTCCCACAACTGCCGCTCGAATGTCAAGCTCACCCCTAGCTTCCTCCGTTGTTCCGTGGTGGTGTCCCAGTACGCTTGTTTGCCCGACCCTTCGCATGCATCCTGGATCTCCCTCACCTTCTTCACCAGCTCCGCCTATTTCTTCCTGCAGTCTTCCGTAGACCTAGAGTAATCGATTTCTGCAAGCCTTCCTGCAACCCACTCCCATCTTTTCGACCTCGTCATGCACGCCTGAGCACCTTCGGCGTCAGCCATAAGGGCGTTGTCCTCGCCGACGAACTTCGCGAGGTCCAATCTCTCCTCCAAAGACCAGGGGTTGTTCTTCTTTGACGCTCGTGGTGAGCTGCCCCCCTTCCTTTTCTGGCCACCCGCGGGACGCGCTTTGCTACGATGAGCGACTCCTTCATTACACTTGTCAGTCGCGGAGGGAGTCATTCCATCATGATCATCCTTGTCTGCTGTCTCCCCACGGTTTCCCATCCCCGGACCCTGGACACCGGTCTACCCTGTCTCGCCGGCCATGTTCCCCAGAAACCCGATTGTGACGTCGCTCCTACCTTCTTCCCGCCAGTGCTGTCGAAAAGTGCTGCTGTCCAATGCTAAAAAAAGGGCAGGTGAACTGCTGTCCATCCCCCTCGCCTGGACGGGAACAGACATTCTCCTCTCGGGGACTTCTGTGTTTCTCGGCGCTTGTTCAGTTCCACGGCCCGACGCCATACCGATTGCAGGAGACGTGCCTTGACGCACTCCCCCCCCCCCCAATCACAGACAGTTCTGTGGGCTGCTGATCACTCACTCCATGCGGAGTTGGGTGCTCGGAACAACCCATTGCTGTCGTTCTGCGAGTAGGAACTGGCGAAATGGGCGGCATCATCCCCGCCCGACGCTGGGACAACTGGCGTGGATGATCCGGAGGGGAACCCCAAATGTTGGCAGAAGCCATGGCCGCCCCTTCCCGGAAACCTTGCGGATGTAATGGCGAGTGCGACATGCTGTTTGCACCTTGCGAAGCAGATCTCTCCCAGCCATAACCTCTGAAAGAACCTCTGCTGACACCGGCCTGCGGCACGTAACACCATGAAGGCGCCGATTGCACCGACTCGGTGCGTGGTTGTGTGCAAAAACTCGCGTCACCCCCCACATCAGCGAACTGACAAGACCCCCCCAAATCACTGTACAGTTCGTCAGTGAAAGTGCGTCCTTCCATCGCTTCGCACATGTCCCTAGATACCGGTGGTGCAAACGAACAATGGTGTTACCGACGCGTGGTGAGGAGAGTGACCACCACATTGCCCTGAAAAAGGGGAACAACGACAGCGAACACAACAAACACGGACACAATGACAAACAATCCCCAGAGGAACACGTGCGAACCAACCCCCCCCCTCTCACGGTTGTCGGCGTCGATGATGATCACCGTCGTGCCTGTCGAATCTCACAGGCACCGACACGGACAAGCCCTACCACCACCCAAAATACCATCTTGCACAACAGTCGATCGTGGTGGGTGTGCGATGTACGGTCGCACATAAACCATCCCCACAACAGCCACATCCCGCTCTATCAACCCTCCCTCCACGATCCGCCCTATACCGCCACAACGTTGAACTGCATGAGTGATGTCGTTCCCGTCGGGCAAGAACCTTCTACTGACGACACTGGTGATGTTCGGCGCATGGAGGAGACAACGCTCCCAACGTCCACTGCACCAAGGGATGGCGCGTGGAGGGACAATGTTCGGCGGATGGAGGAGATGGAATTGTGAAGCGGTACTCCAACACACCGACCATGTCCCCACAACGCTTGTGCATCCGCCACATACCTACCATGCATGAAGTCACCCGCGAGACCACGCACACATCGGCTAACCGACGCCCATGGCACAACGCGGCAACGGAGGTGGCGGACGACGTGCATGGGAAGCGCACGAGAACACTGTTCATTGACGACGGCACGCCACGACAAACCCGCAGATGCCACGTGCCGGGTGCAATAGCATATGGCTGTCGTAAACGTCTACAAAAGTGGAAGTTCCTTGCATCGGTCGACTGGTGACGACAACGTCGGCCGCACCCCCATTCAAATTTGAATTCGAATTCGAAATGGTGGGCCCCCACCCGCCCGTTTCCATCCCCTCTCCGAGGGACCAACAGCCCCAGGCCCGGCTACAACGTGCGATGCATGAGGGGCCTGCTCAGTGTTCCTGGACCGGGGGAGAGAGGGGGCCGGACACTCGCTGGTTCGAATTGTGGGCGAGATTTTGGAAAGTACCCCGCACACTCCCTCCCCCACTCTAAACTTTCGGCACAAAATCGTGGCGAGATGTCCTCCAGACCACGCCGCGGACGATGTGAAAACGCTCATGCGCGTTCTTCCACGCCATTAATTGCGGGCTGTGGGGTTCCGAAAACAAGAAGACATCACTTTTGCCAGAAGGTCGTCTGCTGCCTATGGGGTCCCGGAAACAGTTTCGCGGAAACATTCTTCCTTTTCGCATTCCTGTGGGGTAAGAAAGATTTGAGTTACTTAGCAAGTTACTACATCAGACTTCAGAAAAATTCAGAAAACCGTCTCAACCCGCTCTAGTTTTAGGATGCCCTTTCTTCTTTTTCTTGGGTGCACTTGGTTCTTGGTGGGGGTGGGGTGGTTGGGGGGGATTTGTGAGGTGGGTGGAGGGTGTGCAGGGGGGCCGACTGCGGATACTGCAAACCACT